TTGACCACTACTCTCTGAGTAGTGTTACATGTGTTCATGTAACACAGTATGTTGCAGCCTTAGAATACTTTACACAAGTTGACTTTACTCACGTCAAAAAAATTCTTATGCCACTCTATAAAGTAATAGAGCAAAATGAACTATTGTAAAGCAGATCAACTAGGTAACAGCAATACTATAAACATTCTCATGAAGATAGTGGTCTGCAAACTCTATTAACAGCCTTTCCTTTTCCAGCCTTGTTTGCCTAAGGGATAAAATGATAATATTCTCCGTTGGCTATGTTACATTATCCCTGCTGTTCACTCAGATCCACTTAATAGCTCTCCTTTGAACTTGCTTGCGTTAAGGTCAACAGATAAACCATCTTATTGAGTGCAAGGGGAAAAAAAGTAACTCTGAAATATAGAATTTCACCCTAGTGGTATCTTACAATTTTAATTTTTGTTTGTATTTTCAACAGTTTTAATCTATCAGTTATCATAAAGTGTTGTTTGAACAAGCATGAACACTTATTAAGTGATGAGCAATTTCCATTAAATTGCACTTCTTAATAAGAATCACATTGACTCAAAGCTTCTATTAATCGCATTGGAACTCATCCAGAATTCTGCAACTGGATTCAATTTTTGTCACCTCACCACAGTCGTTGAAGTGTTTAAAAAAAGACTAAGCAACTTTTAACAGAGTTTACATTGACAAGCTACAATGGCTGCCTCTTGTATATCCCCTGCTACTATGAATTTAAAGAATTACTATTTATATTGATAAAAAGTAAGCAATAAGCAATAAGGCTGAAACAAGTGCCAGATTCGTAAGATTACTTGAACATTTTCCTTTATGATCAGATGTAAAGGAAAGACATATTGTAAAATGCAGCTCTGCAAGAAATAGCATAATTGATTTTGAGTGCAGCCAAATCATAGGTAACTTATCCTAGTAAAATAGGGGGAATGTCTTCCAGCACTAACTTGATCTTTTGCGGAAAAGAACAGATTAAACAGGATTTGTTGCATCTGCAAATGTCTTCAAAAAAGAACATACACTGTTCTCATATAGATATGATCTCACATACTGGAAGGAGCAAGATAGAACAGGTATTAAGGCCAAAAAAACCTTGAAAAATGGAGAATTAAGATCCAAAGATCTTCGTGTAAAATGAATCAGACTTGCTGAAGGTAACATGAGATGAATGACTCAAAATCAGAACTGGAAAAGTCTCCAGGGGTTCTTATCGCTTTGTATAAATATCTGATGAGAGAAACTAAAAGGAGACAGATTCCTCTCATTGGTATTCAGTGACAGGACAAAAGGCAATGAGCAAAAATTGAAATACTGGAAATTCTATCCAAATTTAAGAAAATCTTTTTCTCTCTGAGGGTAGTCAAACATTAGAAGAGGTTGCCAAGAGAGGTTGTGGAGTCTCCATCCTTGGAGACACTCAAAATCCAACTGGACACAGCCCCGAGCAACCTGCTCTAGTTCACCCTGCTTTGAACAAGGGGTTATGTTTTTAAGAAACATTTAAATTTTCTTAAGTTACAAGCCGCTTCATCTTTCTTTGGAAAGAGTTGTTTCTCATTACTTACATATTTCTTTCAAAACATTTTATAAACATCACATCTCAGAATTTCCTCTTCCTCATACCCTTCAAATCATATTGCATTCTAAGCGTGGATAAAATTAATGACGAATTTCTATCCTCAAACATTAATGATATTATGTAAGTAAGCAAGTTTCCTAGAAGCCCAAAGACACTATATTCATGAAATGTAACATATATACAAACTAACTTTGGTTCCTTTCTTGAGCTTGCTGAAAGTTTGAAAGAAGTTTGTCTATTCACATATTTCTCTTTCTAAAATGTTACATTAGACATGGAATTTTTTTAAGTTTATATTTTATATGTATACTGACATAAGTTTTTATATCAGATAACGTCTCTCTGTGACATTATGACCTTTCTCATCAAATGTAATAGTCACTCACTTGCCAAAGACAATCTTTTACGTCTTCTGTAGGAATTGGAATCACAAGGAGATTTTGTAGAATAAAAGCAGCCTGAAAGAAATGAAAGCATCAATATTGCCATCTAGCCATCACAGTTCAAAAAAACCACATCAGATTGCACAGCACAGTCTAGATATTATTCCATTGCTTTAAATATATGTTGAAACTCAAAGAATTTTCATGTTCATGTTGGAAAAAAAGGATAATTAAAAGGATATAACCTAAAACCTCTCAAACTTCACCTACAATAGATGTCATTAGGGCATAGCACAAGAGAAGGCTGGTAAGAAAAAAAGATGAGGAAGAAATGAAATAGAAATCACTAGGAAACAAATTTATTTTTTTATAAAATATTTTCATCACTGTTCCAGTACAGTCAATCCTGTTGAATGAGCACTACTTAACAAGAAGTACTGGAAAAAAATCCCTGAGCAGGAAAGCCAGGGTAACTGTTTATGACCCTTCACTCTATTGTCTTCATGTGTTGTCTTTTAATTATTATAAAATAATTGGGACAATGTGAAGGACACATTGGGGCAGACACATACATTGCAAATATTTACCTTTCTAAATACATGGCATATGTTTTTTTCTAATTTATATTAGAGACACATCACATGTATATGTGGATGGACTGAAACTTCTTTTTTCATATTTTGTCAATCTTTTGTCAATAATCTGACTCTTACGATACTACTGAAATTATTTGGAAGTTAAATAAAACAATGATGTATATATTCTCAAAAGAATTTTGCTCAAATAAATTCAACATGTTACTTTGAAATATACAATTCCTTGGGCAACAGAGCTGGGAAGAAACTAACCCACTATTTGTCACAGTTGTTATTTCTTAGTCATTGGAAAACAAGAAAAACCCTACAACTAGAGTTGATAGTGGAGTGGAATGTGTCCCTGCCCCTAGCAGGAGGGTTGGAACTAGATGATCTTTGAGGTCCCTTCCAACCCTAACCATTCTATGATTCTATGATAGAAAGTTGCAAAAAATGTGTACACAGTTTAAATATAGTATTATACAGTTCTATGTGCTGTTCTACCAGAGTAGAAACTTCCAGTATTCATAAAAAAACCTTAGTGCCTAGGCAAATTGAATTACTTCATGTCTGCAATGAAAAGATATTCACTATAGGTCAGGTGATGGGTTCATATCAAAGTGTTCATAAATGGAACAAAACTGCCATTAAAATCTGCTAATTTGTTATGCTATAGCAACCTATTTGTCTGCCCGAGTAACCTCAGGAGTTTTTATGCATTCACTTGTATTGTTTAGATAATTTCTGCTTTTATACTAGTCATCAGTATTGTTGCTTCTTGAGTAATTCTAAATAAGAAGCCAAACATTTATTTTAATTGGGTAGTATTTAACTTACAAAGCAGTAGGTGCTGTGCAGCATCAGAGAACAGCTATATAGAATAAAAAATAACAAAAAAAAATCCTTGACAATCTAAGACAGCAGGACACAAGAAACATACCTCCCTGCGTACCATGCTACATTCAGATTGGTCCAGAAGGATGTTTATCACTGTTCCCCACAGTCCTCCTGAAATGTTCTGGCAACTTTCTGCTAAAGCGATACATCCTATCTCAAGAGATGTAAGAGCTGATCCTATTCCAAGTGCTGTAAATCTGACCTAGTACATACAAGCACAACACAAAGTGATATTTCTCACAGTAATTAGCAATACATTTTTTTAATTATTAAGTTGTATCCACTGAATCTGGAGCTTAAGGGATTCATTTAAAGAGTAACAGCCTCTTCTCCTATATTTCTCTGGCCTTATACTCATAATCACAACTATGTGTACATAAAAATGACAGAATTAATAAAATAGATTTTTGAATGCTTAAAAAGTACTAAGATAGTCTTCAATATTCTTCACATTTTACCACTTAAAAATAGTTCACTTTAGCAAACCTATATAATTTAACGGATTTGAATCAAATATATTTGCTTTAAATTTGTAGCTCATTTAAATGTTTCTGCTTTGCAGCTAAGTAACAGCAATCTCAATGAAAACTGCCTACAAATCATGACCATGAGTGACTAAAGAAAGCATAGAAGACAGAGATGTAGGGAAGGATTTCTCAGATGTTGTTTATATAGAAACATTCTCCCTAACTTTATTGTTACTGTTATTTAGGATATAGTCAAAACCATTTTAAATAATGCAAAACAGTACTTCCAATATTAAATAAATTAATGAAACAAAAATTTTGAAAATACTTAAGGGTCACAATAAGATATCAACTTAACACTGCATTAACTAACCTCAGGGTCTCTATCTACCCATAAAGGAACAAGCCATGCCAGACCTAGCTGAGAAGCAACTTGTTCTTCACCGTTATCATAAGGCAACGACCAAAGAGATATCCAATCCTGATCAGAAAACAGAAAATACATCAATAAATTATTTTACAACTCTTTCAATGCCATGTCAGTCTACAAAGAGCCTGAGCTACCAATTACATACTAGAACACTTTACATGCACACAACATTGATATTCCACGAAAAAGACTTTGATTCTGTCTCTATAAACAAGTATTTAACCTGTTGACTTCAATTGCTGCAAAAAATTAAATTTGTGTCATCTTCTTCATAGAACTTGGACAGCAGTGATAAAGAGATTAGATATTTTACTTGAAATACTAGGATAATTATTTCCATTCAAAATTTACTCTTTTTTTTTTTGCTTATTACTAACATTGTCTTTCTCTCTCATATTACACATGTGCACAAAAATTTTTTTTTGCTTATTACTAACATTGTCTTTCATATTACACATGTGCAGAAAACTACTAAATAAGAACATGCAATTATTTCTTTGATCGTAATTCATTATTTTTCTTCACATACTTACCATGTGATTAAATAAAATCAAGCAGACTACCATGTACTGCTTAGCTGCAGATTGTATGAAATCATACATGACTTTGCAAATTAATTTCTTTAGGTCAGGCTTAGAAAAAAAAACACCACACCTGCCAAGTGCTCTCTTTAACCACGGCACTGTACAAACAATGCATTAACTTCATAATGAATCCCGATACCTAAAATTTTAGTGTGTGTCTTCTGACCATTTCTGTTCTGTATATTTTTACTCAATAGATGACTGATGTTTCATTTGGAGCAGCGTATTTTGCATGGATCTTCTCAATACACACAATATTTATTACAAAAAGCACAGTATTTTACAATATTTGAATTTGGGGAGAAAGAGCATTAACATACAAAATAAGATATAAAACATAGGTCAGCAAAGCAAGACCAATGAAACTGTATCACAGCAAACAAACAAAACACTGCAATTCTAGTGCACCATAAGCATATGCTCTATTTCCTACAAACATCTGTAAGTTAATTCTGTCCATCTGTATGAGCTAAAGGATCTTATGTCTGACTTAACAAGGTGGTTCTTCTAACAATGAAGAACAATACTGGTTCATAATACTGCTAATGAATAAAAAAGAAAAACCACTTACTTTAACTAGTTCCAATTTGAAGTCAATAGACTGTATTTTAAGTCAGCACTAATTTATTTAATTTTTTAAATTGTAGTTATCCAGTGTACCTCTTGTATAACAGAGGAAGAAGGCTAACTTTGTATTTGTCTTTCCATAAGATTTGATATTAAATCCCATGATACTAAACAAGGGCCAGGATTTCCAGTTTCTTTGAGATTATAAGTTATTAGTACAGCCTAGACAGTAACACTGTTGTACACACAGATTATGATTTATAGCCACAAAAAAATGCCACGATCATTATGCTACTATACATATCATTCCATGGGATTGATATATATATAAAAAAAAAAGTCCACTACTTCATCCATGCATTTACAAATCTACTTCTTTGAAGGTTGCAGTCTTTCTGCAGTATACTTGTAACTTTATTAAAGTTTATACTTGTAACTTTATTACATTTGAAGGTTGCAGTCTTTCTGCAGTATACTTAATACTCTGTCCCCCTGTAACTTTATTAAATGTTGTCAGCACTTAGTATATTGAAGAAGGAGTATAGAACTGAAGAAATTGACATCAAGAAATTGAAATTTGGAGAAGCAGGTATATCCCTATTTCTAGTTACATATGTACTTGATAATATTTAAAGGTTGTCACTTGTGGCTATCACAGATACTAACAAGACTGGATGCTAATTCTCCAGAATGATTACACTAAACTGTTGAATTTGCTTTAACTGCTTGAGGATTAAGGCCATTTTTTCTTAACTCTCAAAAATTTAGTTCTCAAAATACACACACGGACACAAAACAAAGATAAAAATTTTGCTTATAAGTAATGACAGTTCTTTTTATAAGTGAGACTAATTCTTTCATGTTTACATATATACATACGTGAAAGACATGTATGTATAAACGTATGTTAGAAAGCCTGTTATCTACAGTGTTATCTGAAGAAACAATGTTGTTAATAAATTCTTAAATTTATTCATCCTATATAAAATCCTGATTTCTCATTTTTTACAAAATAATTATACCTTATTCTGATAGAAGGCCTTTCTAAATCCACAGAATTTGTTGCAGAATTATTTCAGAAGGTTAGAACTGAATCTTCCGCTTTCTTGTATACTACACTCTACCGTATTCTATTTGCCTAACATTATATACCAAACGAGATTATCTTATATTCTTTTTTTTCATTTTTACTATTTATTGCAATAGAAGACATCTTCCCCTATCACTTAGGAAAATCCATTATTTAACTTTAGGAGTTCAAATATAACTGTACATAGCCCTCAGAAATGACAAGATTAAGGACAACTGTCATGCACTCACCGTATCCTTAGCTTGAGCCATCATTTCATGAGATAAGTGAAGTAAGCAAAGAACTGTGCTTTTCGTAACACCTTTTCCCATGAAGGACATAGCATTTCCTCCCCATTCAACATAAAACGATGAGATAACCTAAGAGTAGGGGTACAAGTTTATGGTAGCTTTACTGTAAGCAGTATAAAGGCTGAGTACAAACTGTCCTACACACTACTAAATCATAATTTAAACTCACAAAAAGATGGCAGATTTTTAGGTGAATTTTAAGAATTTATTTACGAGTCATTCAGTCACATGATAGCTTCCCATATGGTTAAATCCCTGAAGTTCAATGGTTTTTACTCGCTTCTTCAAATGAAGAATGCTGTGGAGCTTAATAAGCACAATATTGAATAGAAACCTGAAAGTTTGTTTTTGAGGGAAATATTCCATTTATTGTACCCATTTTTTATGCTATGTTTGGAATTAAAAACACAGTTTCTTCTCAAAATTCTGTGTTCAAGAAAAGGGGTCATTTATATATTTTATTGTGATTTGAATTGGTTTAAATATATCAGCTTTCTAGATCAAATTCTAATGAACAGAAATAAAGGTCACTAGATCATAACATAAAATAAACTGTCTCTGACCAAATACCTAACCATACATGTCAAAATAAAGAGCATGCCATTTTCAACAGAACATGCCCAAAAATATCTTTTCAAAATCCTAATCCTAAGACTTACACTTCTAGATGTATTTTCCTCCCCAAAGTATGGTGATTTAAGCTTCTTCATTTTTGTTGCTCTTTTTCCTTTCAGTGTCCTGCTCTACAAGAATTCCCTTCAAACCCACTTTCTTCCCTCCTCCCAATAAGATACCTACATTTACTTTCATATTTAGGCCAAACAAAACTGCAGAATTCTTTTGCACAATGATCTTATGTATTATCAGTTAATTTCATTCTGTAACATTTATTATGATTTTGTCCAGTAATAATCTTTCACATGACAACATTCCTTATCTTGGTGCCATTTTTAGTCTAGATTTCAAATTGCAGAACTCATCTAATTAAATAGCTCTAAAATATTTATTTCTACTCAAGAAATCTCAGTAAGTTAAGACCTTCCTCTAAAAGACTATATATATAGTATAATATATTAATATATAATAGATATTAATTTATTATAATTATAATATGCATTATTATATACATGATTCAAAATCAAAAATTAATTAAAACTACTTTAAGACTTTTTCAAGCCTCAACAAATAGATTTTAGTATTTGAAAATAAAAAAAAACTTCTAAATGTATCTACCTTACTGAAGACTTGTAAAAGAAAAGCCAGATCTATGCTTTTCTTACAGTTTCAAGAAGACTGAAGTTTTCAAAAGATGTAATTTTAGGAGGAAAACTGAATTGCCTATCACATCTATGGACTTAGCAAACAAATAAGAACACCAAAAACAAGAATGAAATTTTGGCTTTCCACAGCTGCAGCATCTTGAATTACCTCTTGTTAGCTTTTTACTAAAAGAAAAGTGATGACATTCACTCAGCACATCCTAAAAATTATAGGGTCATTAGTTACACAGTATTTTTACAAGCATTCAAACCAAAAGCTAAGTTATTACATAAGCTGCTTACCTCAAGAAGACCTGTTAAATATTTCTTACAAATTGTGACAGGTTCAACTTCAGCAGAGTAGGTACTCCAGTCTGGAAGTGCAGTAACATGAACCATTCCTCGTAATGTTCTCTCCAGTGAAGGAAGTCCATAAAAATGCGGTGCATCTGTTAGCCTTAAGCATTGTAGCAGCTTCAGAGCCAGCTCAGTTCTGAAAGAGCCAGCAAGTTCCAAGCCCTCTCTGATTTAATCGTAAAAAAACAAAAAAACAAAAAAATCAACTGTTAACATGAAGGTACTGTAATGAATCATTTTACAAGAGGCTAATGCCTTTTTCTTCTTACTACTAGTCTATGAGTCTCAGTATGTCAATTAGTTACTACTGCCTTGTGCAGAGAATAACATGGAATTAAATTTGACATTTCTAGCTTCACCCAGGTTCTGAAAGCATAATATTGCATCTGATTATAACAAGGCTGCTTAATCAAAATAAGACAAATTAGATATAACTCTAATTACTAAGGAGTATGTTAAATAAAGAGCAAGAGGCTGTAGATGATAGATAATATAACAAGAAGAGTTACAAAGCTTAGTAGCTACACTTGTGTTTGTTCCGGTTCAAGAGACAAGTTTAAAAATATTTCCTGCAAAATACCATTAATCTAGAATTCAAATAGATAGAAAGTAGTAGAGTAGAGCATGACGTATCACTAGCAAGGATTTCTATAATCTTCCCTTTTCCAGCTGTCAAAATTTTTAGAAAGTGAATAACTGCATGGGAAGAATGAAGAAGTAAATGCATTTGAAGTATTGAATGCATATGAAGTATATGAATGTATTTGAACAAGTAAATGTACATTTCGAAAGTACCTTTACAAACAGCTATGTTGTGGTACTTAAATAAACATATTATCTTAAGCCGCAATTTTAGTACCTCTTAGAATACACTTGGACAGAGAGATTTAGTGTGGGAAGATGTTATATTAGAAACTTAGAGGAAAAAAAAAACTAAGAGAAATTCGTTTATGTGTTTGCTTGATTAACAGAAAAAAAGTTGGAACTTCATGCTGGAAGTATCTGTCCTAAGCTATCACTAATGTGCACTGATATATTGTATCAGGCTAAAAAGAAGCTCAATGAAAATAAAGTTGATATTTCAAATATTTCAATGTTTTACTTTGCTATAAATACATGCTACAAAATCAAGCAAGTTATCATTTGCTTGTGCAAATTTCCAGCAGTGAAAAAGAATCAGCCCATCTTTTGCCTGCAATCAGTTTATCATTTGCTGAAAAAGTGAGTACATACTCTTCCAAGTTTCCCAGTTAATTTCTCAATTTACTGTGAAAAGGCCTATCTGATCTTCACTTCAAGAGGAGTATATTCCATTTTTACAGTTTAAAATGTTTGAGTCATGAAGTAATTCTATCCAAATTCTGAGATAGAGCAGCAGTAGGTATTATGATACCCCATCAGAAATACATGGGCAAGTCCATTTACACCGTACCTGTCAGTCACTGACATGGAACAAAACAACAATGTGTTAAAAAGGCGAATTAGTTCTTTATCCAGTTTCTGCCTGACAGCAGTCTGTATTTCATCTATTTCATCACGCACTTGGGATTCCGGTCGCACCAGGAGGTCTAAAAGGGATTTTGGCTTCTAAAAGAAAAGAATAAAAATACAGTCACATAACGCATTGATTTAAATCCTATTTTAATACCCACACTAAAGCCACTTTTCTGTTGAGAGCTTGCAAATCGCACACTTTATAAATTGCAAACTCCATGATCATTTTACTAAGAAAGTACCAATTACTTGAATCTACTAAACGTCATAAAAGAATCTACTATTAAGGCCTTTAAAATCTCCTGGCATTAAGCCATGATATAGTGTATTTCGAAGCATGAAAGAAAAGTCCAAGTTATATACAGCAATAAAAACATAGATCACAAAAAAAAGGAAAACACATAGTAGAAATATTAGTTCAAGATGTATCTTGTATGCCTCATTTGCTTGAAAGACTTAAAATCATTTGATATAAAGATTTTCTATTAATATATTGAATGGGCCATACTTATAAAATTTTGCAGGATTCCCATCTACCCGTATAAATTTAAGTACCTGCATTCTGTAAGCAACTGAAATGAAGTCTACTAGCAGTTTTTTCCTCTAAATGTTGAGATGGTATTTTAAAATGGGAAAATAGTGCACACATATTGTACTTAACAAAGGATATCCCTTGGAAGACCAGGAATGATCTTGCACACAAGCAGTACACCCTCACTTTGTGAAGAACAGAACTTTGCAAACCTCTAACACTGCAGCCATTACTTTTATCTTTGCAATTTAACTACTGTTTTTATACAGCAAGATCAAATTATTATATTTTGACAAATACAATGAAAGTTGTTTTATACTGCTTTATGATGTTCATTTCTTATTTGTTTTTATACTCTTCGATTTTACACATCTTAAATGAACATTACTGGATAGAACGGATCTCTCAGTGGAAAGTAGAAATTTGCTCTTGTTCAAAGCTAACTTCCCCAAACACTAAAACTGTAGCACTAACCACAACGTAGCAGACACTAATACCACAAGATCTGCTATTTCTTGCTTTTGTTGAGGGAAGTCTTTTTCCTTGAGGAACTCACCAGAAACAAGCCACCCAACCAGTTCATAATTACATAACTTCTTACAATCTACAGCTAACTTCTTAGGTATATTCTTACATTTTTAAGCAATGATTTCAGGATCCACTTCAGATGGTCTGACTCTGAACTTGATCTCTGCTCTCTAAGCAACTTGTTTAAAAATCTTAAGACATCTACTAAAAGCTTCTCATCCTCCACAGAAGCTGGAAGCACTTGCAGAAATCTACAATGTAAACAAAAATATTTACTTTCATACTTGTAGCACATTAAAAGGGAGTTTAAGATCTCAGTCTAATAGGACTGAAGTCACCTGCAAATGTGGAATTTATATATAAAGTATGTATAATGTATATCTACATATACTGCATATGGAATTATATTATGTTATAGATATATTAAGTTACATATATTTAAATACTTTTACACAAAATTACTCACTAATTTCTACTTGTATACTGTTATAGATTTATTGTATATTATTACAACATAAAATTGTTATGTATATTAAAAAGCATATATACATACAGTAAAAGGTAAAAAAATCTGAACAGGGCCATGGATAGGAAAGAGAAAAGGTAACGAGCTATCAAATACTAGCAATTAATAATAATAGCAAAGCCTACCTACGCATTTTAAATAATATTTATTTTTAATACAGCATTCTTACTTTTTGCTGGTTTTGTGTATGTAAAGTACAGAATCACATAAGGTTGAAAAGGACCTCTGGAATTCACCTGGTCCAAGCTCCCTGCTCGTGCAGGGGCACTTGAAGCCAGTTGCTCAGGACCATGTCCAGGTCGCTTTTGAATATCTCCAAGGACGGAGACTCCACAGTCTCTTGGGGCAACTTGTGTCACTGTTTGATCAACTTCACAATAAAGAAGTGTTTTCTGATGTTCAGTGGGAAACTCCTGCGTTTCATTGGGTGCCCACTGTCTCTAGTCCTGTCACCAGGCAGCACTGGAAAGAGCCTGGCTCAGTCTTCTTTATACTCTCCCTTCAGGTACCTGTACACATTGATAAAATGCCCACTCTGAGCCTTCGCTTCTCTAGACTAACCAGTTCCAGCTCTCTCGGCCTCTTCTCATAGGAAAGATTCTCATCTTTCATCATCTTTGTGGTTTCACTGGACTCTCTCTAGTATGACCCTGTCTCTCGTGTAGTGGGAAGTTCAGAACTGGGAACCTGGAGTCCAGGTGCGGCCTCACCAGTACTCAGTGGAAGGGAAGGATCACCTGCCTCATCCTGCTGGCAACACTCCTCCTAATGCAGTCCAAGATACTACTAGACCTCTTTGCTGCAAAGGCACATTGCTGGCTCATGTTAAGCTTGGTGTCCACCAGGATCCCCAGGTCCTTTTCTGCAAAGCTGCTTTCCAGCTTGGTGGCTCCCAGCATGTACTGGTGCCTGGCATTGTTCCTCCCCAGGTGCAGGACTTTGCACTTTTTGAACTTCATGAGGTTTCTGTCAGCCCACTTCTTCAGCCTGTCAAGGTCCCTCTGGATGGCAGCATGACCCTTTGGCATTACCAGTCACCCCTTCCAGTTTTGTAACATAGGTAAAATCGCTGAGGGTGCATTCTGCCCCATGATCCAATCATTAATGAAGATGTTGAACAGGATTAGACCCAATATTGTTTGGTCCCAAAGGCTGGTCTTGCTAGTAAAGACGGAGGCAAAGAAGGTATTCAGGACCTCAGTGTTTTCCATGTCTTGTGTCACTGGGACACCTGCCCCATTCAGCAGCAAGGTTACTTTCCCTAGCTTTCCTTTTGTCACCTATGTACTTACAGAAGCACTTCTTATTGCCTTTGACGTCTCTCACCAGACTCCACTCCAGGTGGACTTCTGGCTTTCCTAACTGTGCCTCTGCATGGTCAGGCAATGTCTCTGTATTCTTCTCAAGTTAACTGTCCCTACTTCCACCCTCTGTAGACTTCCATTTTATCTTTGAGTTTTGCCTTATTCATTCATGCAGGCCTCCTGGTCTTTTTGCCTGACTTCCTTCTCAATGGCATAGACTGCTCTTGAGCTTGGAGGCAGTGATCACTGAATATTAACCAGCTTTCTGGGGCGTCTCTTCCCTCCACGGCCTATCCCATGAGACACTAACAGTGAGATCTTTGCAGACGTCAAAGTTTACTCTCCTGAAATCTTATTTCTTGCCCTCCTCCTCCTCTGAGGATCCTGAACTCTACCACCTCATGGTCACTACAGCCAAAGCTGCCTTAAACTTTCACATTCCTAACAAGCCCTTGCTTGTTTGCAAGCAAGAGGTTCAGCAAAGCACCTCTCTTCGTTGGCTTTTCTGTCACCTGGATCAGGAAGTTGCCACTGATGCTCTCCAGAAACTTATGCCCTGCTGTGTTATCCCTTCAGCAGATACAGGGAACAACATATACCTATCAGAATCAAAAGTACGTGGACAATCAATTCCGAAAACATGAAAACTAGGAAATTTACAATTTAAGCATCACAATCTTTAATGGATTTCCGTAGTGAGTGTGCTTACCTGTTTATTGCTTTTTGCCAAACAAAGCTCTTCAAAGTGGTTCCACAAGACCCAGAACTGCATTTTAATGCAAGTCTGTCATTCAGAACGTAAAAACTAAGCCTAGCAAGAACAGTCCTAACATCCCTGTGGGATACTGCCTGAATGATTGAATTAAGACAATCCTGCAGTCCATAGTTTGTGTGAGTTATTTTGAGTATAAGAAAGTCTTCTGAGGATAGTTTTAGCGAGTCTAAAAATCTGAAAATGTATAAGAGAAAAATTATTAACAGCCAGTATCTTTAAAAATATTTCAACATCAACTCCTTCACTTGTTGGTTCAAATAAGAAAACAAAACATAAATTGCCTTAAAAATTTATTTTTGTTAACCAATCCTTTCTCCTCCTTCCCCTTCTTCTACCTCCTCCAAAAACCCCAAAACCCAACAAAAATAAACAACCTCACATTTAAATCCTGAGCTGTTTGGGTTCTTTGGAAAAATAGCACCTCTCAAAAAGTTACTTAAAAGGTGCTATTCACATTGTTTGTAATGAACTTGTCATCCACGCTACTGTAAATGTTAACCACTTGGACTATACACTATTTTACTATCTTCTTTTAAGAGATTGATTTGGTTTTGCCTGAGAGAACTTAAAATGAAAATTATTTATCACATCAACAACTGCAAAGTTTCCAATGGCTCAGAACCACACTGTTTACTAATAAAACTTGTAAGGACCCCTTAAAGGACACAAGCAAAAAAATCGTCAAGATGGACAGAGATATAGATACAAGCATTTCAGTCCCATTAAATCAAGAATCTTCTAAGACATTGAGTTCTGTATAGAAAATAGTCTCAAAGAGAGAAATGATGTTTAATCAAGAGCTAACCAAAGCATGTAAAGGGAATTTTCTTCATTATCTACCAGAATTCTTAGTATTATCATTAAAAAGAATAATTATTTGAAAATTAAATCCCCAAGGAAAGAAAGAGAAAAAGTCATGCAACAATCAAAGGGAAAAAAGGCAGCTCCCTAGAAAAACCACAATGACTACAAGAAAAACAACCACAGAGTCCATTTAAAATTGTTTTAAATGAGTCTGACCATCAATAAAAGTTAGATTAAGCTCTAGACTAAATGTATAAATGCAATTTAAGTTGTCACAGCTAATATTTACCTATCTATAGCCTGTTCAGATATTATCCCTTACATTTAAAAAGGCAGCATTCTCACACCAATAAAAACTTCAGCTGCTATTTGAAGTTGAAAATATATTTAAACTTGATGGAACATTAACTTAATTGAAATATACTGGGATTTAAAATCAAGATAAAATGGCTCACGTTTCTGCTTCCTTTTCATAATTTATCAGTTGCAATAGGTTTTCAATCCCATGGTACCACGACAGATTCCAAGCCATCTTAAGCATATCTGACACAGGTTTCATAGTCAAGCACTCAGAAGACAATGGCACCACAACAGTATTAGGGCTAACTACATGATGAGCAGTGATCCTGACTGGGAGATGATACCTAAAATAAATAAATAAATAAATTTTGACAGTGTTTGGTTTTTATTTTGTTTTTTTTTTTTTTCGGTCTTTTAAATGTTCTATTAGAACACACTTTTAAACTTGCAAATAAAGTTTTTGAAACTCTTTGTCAAAGAGCAAAGATCTGAAGAAAAAACTCCATATTTAAAAACACAGACAACTTTGGATTTAACATCAACTGTTTCCCTTCATTCTCCCACCTCCATACTTCAGGAACGACAGTAAATGCAAAGCAGCAAAAGTTAACTGAAACAAACAAAACAAAAAAACCCCACCCATACATACCTTCTAACAACAGCAACAGGTAAACTGAAGGCAGGGAGGTCAGTATCATTAATGATCACGCCATCAGCCCTGCAAGAGATTAAGTTATAGCTATTATTCCCTATTTTAGGCTTCAATTTTCTACTAATGTTACACTTATTATTTCTTTGTTATTCAGATATGGCTGTACTGTTTCCTCCAGCTAGCTCTTTAGCAACCCATTGATGAATAATTTGCATTAATAAACATTTTTTCATGATTATGAAATATTAAGATAGTTTTAAGATCACACACATACAGAATACTTGTTGCAGATGTACTGCACATAAAAACGAAATTAAAGATAACATATCAAAGGACATCCTTATTTCCCCTTTTGTATTAGAGAAAAAATATGCATTGTAATTCTTCTCAGTGTATTTCATGTGTGTGAATTCTAAAAGCACATTTTTTCAGGAGTATATGCAAATTTCAAACAATAAAATACCGTAAGCTGAGATCTGTTGCTTTAAGGACAACTTCTACACTTAAAAGCCAATGTAAATAGAAGAATTCCAATTAAGTTAAAAACCCACACTGACAGTGAGCAATTTCATCTGTGTTGTTTCCATTTATGGAAAAGATGGATTACAGACCAATTAGAGTTTTTTAAAACTAAAATAAACTTAAAATTAACACTGAGGTACAAAGTATTTATATGGCAAAAATATGCCATGTAAATCTATACAGCATGCAACCCAAATATTGAAACAATTCGTTTGGCCTACAAATATGCAATTTCAGATCTATAAAAGTTGGGAACATAATTTATCCCATATAAAAACTTACTTTCATTAAAACCTTAAATTTTGACTACAGAATATGCCATTAAATAATTGTTTTTCCTACCACGTTTCTGTTCTTGCTACTTCATCAAACAACAGAAGACAAATCAATACTGTAGTTTCAGTTAAAACAGCAGGATCATTTTGGAATATCAGGGAAACTGAATGAAATAAAGATTTTTAAAATATGTTAGGAAAATATTGACATTTAATAATACATAGAAGGACACTGGTTAAAACCAACTGATTTCCACAGTCATTTTGCCAACGTCTTCATAGATTCATAGATTTCTAGGTTGGAAAAGACCTTAGAGATCATCGAGTCCAACCATCCCTAATCCCCATTAAACCATATCCCTAGGCAGTTCATCCACCCTATTCTTAAACACATCCAGGGATGGGGACTCAACCACCTCCCTGGGCAGCCTATTCCAGTGGCTGACAACCCTTTCAGAGAAGAAATACTTCCTAACATCCAACCTGAATCTCCCCTGACTAAGCTTATACCCATTTCCTCTTGTTCTATCACCCAACACTAATGTAATCTTATACCCATTTCCTCTTGTTCTATCACCGAACACTAATGTAATGAGCCCTTCCCCTACATTCCCACCATCTTTTCTCAAGTATTTGTAGGCTGTTTTAAATGAGTCTGACCATCAATAAAAGTTAGATTAAGCTCTAGACTAAATGTATAAATGCAATTTAAGTTGTCACAGCTAATATTTACCTATCTATAGCCTGTTCAGATATTATCCCTTACATTTAAAAAGGCAGCATTCTCACACCAATAAAAACTTCAGCTGCTATTTGAAGTTGAAAATATATTTAAACTTGATGGAACATTAACTTAATTGAAATATATTGGGATTTAAAATCAAGATAAAGATAAATCATCAACAGATGCCACAACATGGGTAACACCAGCACACAATGATTTCTCTTTTAAATATTAGAGACTCTGAAGTGATTCAAGGTTCTAAAGAAGGCTTAACTACATTTCCCACATTTTGTTTCCATGCATGTATTAAAAGTCAAAATAGAATATATACCTCTGAATAGCAAAAGCAGTAAAGATGATTGCTGTGCTAGGGACAGACGAACAACTGGATCAGCATATACAAGTTTGCGTAAGAGTGTTAGACATGGTAACACTATGGATTCCATAAGCTGCAGGTATAGAGAAAAAAATTAAATACAGATAACAATTAGGACAATCTATTACCAGATGTTTAATACAAACTATCATGGTATGAAGCAATATATTCCATCATTTATAGTAGAGAAACTTACAACTTTCTTAGACTAGTCCATTTCACCCAGATGATAACTGCATATTCATTAGAAAATATTTATTCACTTCTAGTTTTGTTTTATTAGTAATTGATGGTCATTTTATTGGTCTCTAGCATCAGAATACAACTATAAGGTTTGCCTCCAAAATATGTATTTTTAAGAAGCATATATGTGAACTGAAGGATTTAAAAAAAAACTCCAAATACTTAAAATCATATACGTGAACTCATTTTTTTTAAATGCAAACGGTTATTTTACCACATTCATTTTCTGTGTCCCAGTCTTTCATATCAGGAAACCTAAAAAGGGAAACCAGCTTGCTAAAAGTTAAAATATCAGTGAATGGCCAAAAATACCATCAAAGTCACTTCTCCTAAGAATGAGAAGACAGTTTGTCTTTCACAGTTCGCTTGTCTGAAGTTTTGCTTTTAAATTTTGTTTGTAAACTGCATCACCAAATATAGTTTAGTTTCATATGGAATTAACACAAGCCCTGCTTATTTAGTATGTAAAGACTTTTGCACAGCTATATATAAACCATTATTTAAAAGGTGCTTTTTCTATCTACTACGTCTTTTATCCTTTTCTTGGTAGCCACTTTTCTAAGAACATGCAAGGTTTTTGGTGTTTGTTTTTTTTTTTCTTGTTTGGTTTACTTGTCTATTGATTTTAAGATTAAATTTAAAAGCCACTTGAGGGGAGAACCAGAATCTGGGCTAGATTCCCTCAGGGTAGTGTCCTAATGACTTATTTAACCAAAACTACATGGTCTTTCTTCGACTTAACAAAACTTTAAAACTTTGCATTTAGACTGAGTTATAACAAACACGAGGTAAGCAGTGCTCCTACTTCATTTATCTTCTATTCTGGTGGATAGCTTATTTTCTTGGGCAGTGGTTTGTACTGTCAGAGCTTGAGGGAGCTAAGCATGAGATCCCTACTGGTTGTGTTCAAGAGACAGGAGTAAGATTGCTTAGTCGTTTTGCAGAAGAAACATTTCACAGTTATTTTACAGAGCAGAGCATTTCAGATCCAAAACTTCTATCAACACAGAGACAACAAACTTTTGAACTCTAGCACTTGAAGTGGAATTTCACATACAGATGTTAGCTTACACTCTCCTGCTGACATAATCTAAACCATTCATTCTTCAATATGTGCAATTTTAGATTTCTCCTCTAAAATACTGTGCAACTTTCATCATGTAAAGTTTGAACGTTCTGTTTAGTAAAAACGTCCTAGGTTCCACAAACCATATATACAAGAGAAGGGCATCACAGTCCCTAGAGAGTTGTTGCCTGTGCCCTTCCTGGATTAAATTTGAATTTATAAAAGGGCTAAAAACATTATTTTAAAGTCTATCCTAAACTTTCACCTGACTATGAGGGACCTGCTTAAGGCCATGTATTTCCCAGGCTTGTATTTGTGAATTATTAAGTAGTTAGGTTAATATCTACTCACTATCCAAAATGAAACAAAACAATATTTGCATTACTCTGTATCTCTAAAAAAAGTAAGATGATAAAAACCTGACATTTTTAAAAACCACAGTAAAAAAACCTACAGAACTTAATATTTTCATTTCTCCAATTAGGTTTCAGTGGTTTACAAAAGTACTCATATTCAAGTTATCATAAACTGAACTAGACATTCCTTAATGCTACAGGAATAAAATAAACTTAGATACTGATAATCTGGAAAAAATGTTACCATTACTGAAGAAGAATGTAATTTTCATTAATTTGACAAATAAATAGAATTCCACTAAGTATCAAGCAGTTTTTTCTTTTCTACATTTTTGGGAAAGAAGGCATTACTATATAAAAATTCTCATAGTTTCTTAAAATAACTCAAGGTTTGGACTGTGGGACTACTATAACTATACTACGCAAGCGAACTAAGAAACATGCAAAAAGTGTATCCAGTGAAGTGATGATGAGCGATTTGTAGCCTAAATAAGCTTGCATAAAATGTTCTCAAAAAACAAACTTCAGAAAAATTCAAGAATCAGTTTGGACATATCACAAAAACTGAAAGCTTGGTCATCTACAATAAAAACACACCCATCTCTAAGTGTCATCTTCTCTCTTGAGACTCTCCCTGGTGAGGTGATCTTCTATTGGTCAGAAAAGTACTTATACCTGAAACTCAGTCTGACATGTAGACTCCCATTTACAACAACATTGCATTTTTAATGATAATTTGCTTCAGGACTTAAATTTAGAGACTATGATACATAACACTTTTTTTTCTTTAAAGTCATTAGGAATTATTTTTTTGGTCTCTACTGAGAAAGCATCAGGGAAGTTCTGATATATTTCTGAACCACATTAAACACAGTTCTCTGGTTATGTTTTATCATAAATAGGCAAACCAATCTTTCACTAAGAGAATCCTAGCATTAACAAAAATGTAATTTAAAAAATACATATTGCAATTAGAATTGTTATTAAACATTTGTGTTCTGTGCAGAATTAATGTACAAAGATTAGTATTATAAGTGCAGAAAAAGGCAAATTCTACTACTGTCATGCGGTGCAATGCTTGCAGAAGAACCTGTAACAATTGTTTTACCTTGCCATCCACATGTATACATTCATTAAGGTAAACCAAAATCTTTTCTATCACACCTAACTTTTTCACAATGTCATGCATTTTGGTATCTGTAGGAAAAACAAAAGACAGAATCACTGGTTCTGCACCAATTTGATATTAAACTTCTTTCCAGAAGATCACAAACTCTTGTTCCTGAGAACAAGTTTCCAAAATGGCTGATCAGCAGAACAAGTATAGCTCTGGCTCTGCCAAGGCAAGCTTCTTAAGTCTTGTTACTTGACCATAGTAATCTCTTGAACATGAGATTCGTAAATGTCGTGCATAACTTCCCACATAGAACTTTATGTTCCAGTTACAGTGATCCCCTGTGCAACTCAATTTCAGTCAGATGAGAATTTTAATATTTAACAAGTCTTCACAAGTTTAATATGGAAATAAAAATGGTATTTACAAAAACTCAAATCACCATGAGAGTATTTTCCACTGAACTCATCGTTCAGAGCATCTGGTTTAAGAACAAACAACAACAAAAAAGCTATGTCATTTGGATTGGTTTTGTTGTTTTTTTCTAAATAAAGTGATTCTTCATATGAAATTTGTCCTGATAAAGCTGCATTTTTTCCTTTACAATTTCATCCTGTGTTATCTTTCATATTATCTCCTGGCATCTGAAAACCTTGGCAGTCATAAGTAACTTAATTTTAGAAGACAAAGTACACATTTCATCATTTTTGTGATCATTTTTCTGACAAGAAAAATGTTAATTTTACTATTATCTAAGACCTCCCGTTCCTATGGTGAAAAATATATATTCTATCATTACAATTTGAGTTCCTCGGAGAAAACATACTTGAATCAGAGTTTGAGTAGGTACAGTACAATAATCCAGGTTTGAAACTCTACAGTTGTGACCCTGCACTGAGTCAAATCATGCTCTATGCAAGACTGCTTAGGTGCATTTTAATTCAATCAGATCTTCTTTACCAGAATTCATAATTTCTTCCCATGTGAGCAACACAATTATAAAAAAAAAAAAACAAACCTGTGATGCAAATTTATGAATAGTCACTTAAATTATAAAGAGTAAGAAGAGGAATACTTTGCTTGCAAACATGTTAGATGAAATGCCACAGAGAGTCTGCCTCTTGATACTGAAAGAGGGTATAATCAGGTAAGCTTAGCTTGCGTTTACTGAATCCTCATTCACACAAATGACACTTTGATCCATTTTAACTGTCATTACTATTTAGGCTAAATCAAAATAGAGGAAGAGATTCAGGATGATAGAAGGAATTTCTCACTAAGTATAAAATCCCTTTAGCTAGCCTGTGTAATCTAAGAATTAACTTTCCTAATTAAAATACAACAACACTAAAAATATATATTTTTTTATATTGACCATCACCTCCCTCACTCCAGACTGAGAATCTGGTTTAGCAACACCAAAAAAATTTGAAGCATCATTAATTGAGACAGATCAACAACTTGACAAACATTAAAAAAGGAAAAGCAGAAAAAAATGTTCTTACAAAGCTTACAGAATTCAGCTCACTCTTCTGTTACACAAGGGAGCTGTTTTTTCAAATAGTAAGACCATTATTTCTTATTCTCGAGCTCGACAACAACAAATAACTATTTTTTTATTAGAATTGGTAGATTATCCACAATAGTGTTAAAATTCTGGTTCAACAATCTACATAAAAATTACAAAAAGTACCTTCAGCACAAACATACAGAAAACCTAGCAAAACGGCAAGCTCAGGCAATGATCTGCATATGAATATAAATTTTCTGAAGAACTTTACCTTCTAAAATAATAGCTAGCTGCTCGGCTGCAGACTTTCGTAAAACTAGGTCAACAGCATCAGAAGTCAAGATGTCATACAGTTTTTCAATAGTTTCTGCCTAAAAGTAAAACTGTATTAGATTTATATCCAGTACACTATTATGAAACAAGGTAACCAGCCAAATTTCCTAACAGAAAGTAGAAAATAAAGAGATCTAAAGATTAGATTTCACACACATGTAGTATGAAAGGATTAGGTTATAATCTTTTTAAAACAAACCTCTGGAAACAATACCTGTGGAATATTACGAGACGATATTTTCTAGGGCACAATTGAAGTAGATTTCTAATAATGCTTAATTTTTGCAGGACTATAGAAAGCTCAACACTATAGAGAAATGCTAGAATATTCTTCTAACTCTGTAAAGGGGACTGACTTTTTAATGGTAAAAAGGACAGAGAAATCTAAATAATCTTACATATCCATACAAATTTCAGGTCCTAACTTTTTGAAGGATGTAGGGGAAGAACATTGTTAATCTGAAAGCATTGAGGGTAAAGAAGGAAGAAGAATGGAGGGTAGATGATTAAAAATAAAAGAAAACCAAAAAAAGAGAAAATTTTTCACATAGGTCAAATACTTGTGATTTTTTTTTCACTATTGCGGCAAAAGCAGCAATATTAGGAAAACACAGACATAAATTTGTAATCTGTTTTAGAATATTTCATATTAAAAAATATTTATGCCTGTTTCGGTAAAAATTGATTTTGTGGGGGGAAAAAGCTCTATGTAAGAAAAATCAGACTCTACCCATATACAATGAAATTGTTGTAAAGAGAGCAGGCCTGTGCTCTCCATACTCAGGTTAAATCTTGCTGTTAATTTAACTGCAAAGAAAAAAGAAGAAAAAAAGAAGAAAGAAGGAATTCTTTTCTTATTGTTGCATATGATAGCATAAAAAGTACTGTTTTAAGTGTGCACAGAAAGAATATATAAATAGATACCTTTTTAAGAAGCAAGCCAATTTGTAAGAAATATTGCAGCCTTCAGAAAGTGATAACTTCAATGACCGGGCAGCTGGAAGAGCTGATCAATGACACAATATTTAGACAGTTTACTCACCTTAAATATTGACTCCATTTTATCATCCAATTTTAGCTCAATAGCTCTTTCCATAATAAATAAGTTGGAAATGCTGGAAAGCGCACTGCCATGCAGATGCGGGCGTTTCAGGTTCGCCCCTTCTTCATTCAAAAGATGGAATGCTAAATGTTTAAGTGCTACAGAACGAACCCTATAGGAGTAAACAAAATAAATATATAAAGTCTTCATACTGGAAAAATTTAGCTGTATAGTTAAAAATTAATTACTTTATAGAAGTTATACATTTGGGGGAAGTACTTAGTCCACTCAATATTGATTCATCTACCTTTTAAATCAACCTGCTGCATAATAATCAAGTTTTTAGAGTAGACATTTTTGTCATCGACATGAGACAATGTGCTGAAATGCTAGAGGGCATTACTTACAAATGTTTTTTTGAGAAGAGAAGACGCAGAGCAGCCCGTAGTCTAGTAGTTCTAGGCAGAATACCCTCTCCTTTGTCAGAGGTTGTTTCACTCAAAGTGAGGATACAGTTACCTAGAGTATCTTTTGTGTCAGCATAACCCTAAAACAAACAAACAAAAATAAGCAAAATTAAAAAAATCCGCTTACTAACTTAGCAAATTAGACAAGGTAATTTCCCTTTTAGGGTCTAAGGGAGGGTGGAGAAGGAGCAACACCTCCACCCAAAAAAATTGGTAACTTTTAAGAAAACTCAGTTTCTGCATATTAATATCCCTCTGTAAAAACTATTTTACAAATTAATAAATGGACCTGTATACAAATCAAAATAAAGATTTTTACATGGCCCAGAGGTACTTTGACCTGACGCTTTACCCTTCAATCTGTTAACATGATGCTGCTCTGTAAGGTCAGTTTCCATTTCAAATTCAGACCCTGCAAGAAAATGACTTCAAGACATTAAATCCTCTCTCTTTTCAGATATTTAGTCAAAGCACTTTCATACACAACCAAGACAAACCAGAATCACTTACATCAAAGTAATGATACTGCAAACATTCAAACAGTAGAGTAAAATACAAGGCTTTTTACATGCATCAGGTAAATACAGGCCGTTGGTAGTAGTATCTACTGTACATAGCCACTACAATCTATAGTACAGAGGAAAATTCTACTCAGAAAAATGAGACCAGGCTAAGTTCTTTCTCATATGTTTGACCTACAGCTTATATTAAAACCCCACCTACCTAATCTTGAATATCAATGGAAGATACGTATGTGGGTAACACAGAAAAGCTGACATTACTGGGCAAGAAAGCTCTGAAGTAACTTTTCTCCCACCACTTTCAAGTTCTCAGTGTATTTCCTCTGCATATTTTTCTGTCTGAGCCTTCTATTTCATGGTCCATCTTTTTTGCTATTTCCCCCCATTTTGCCTTGATTTTTATGCAGTTTATGTAAGGGCTTAAGTTATATGAACATTTTTTTCAACTGACAGTAATACAGAGGTGTAGGCAATTAATGAACACATAGCAGTGTTACGAATAAGCAGGTATAATTATCAAGAATGATACTTTTGGAGAAAAAAAAAAAGACAAAATGTATACTTGGATGCATTATCTAAGTTAAGTAAAACACAGAAATAAGGCAAAAAAACAGACATCAGGAAAAACACACATCAGACAGATGCAGCAAAATATCTAACCTGGAAGACTATAAGCAGATCATAGAAGGGAAATTTCTAGCACTAGAGAAAAATAAAGAATTTGGATGGAGCAATTAGGCTGAAAATCAGACTGAGAAAGGCAAAAGTTCCTATTAGATCAAGCCAAGAGTAAAGATAACGAAAAAAAAATTTGCACATTGTTACAAATACGAAGACTAAGATCTAAGGATAATACTGACTGTTGATACTTCTAATAATATTGGAAACAAACAAATCGAAAAACAAATATCAAAATATACTGAAAATACACATTACACCTATTGCTATTGGTTAAGCAAATACTTCATCAGAAAACAATCTAATCATCACAAAGGAGTTGCAATTTTGAAATTTAAGATATGATGAACATTCTAATAATTATTAACCAATTTTAAAAAGCATGCAATGTTTTAATCTATACTTGGATCATCCACTTATATCTTTAAATCCCAGTCAATATGCGCTGATTTCTACCACAACATTTCAAAGTTTCACATTCTAGTAATACCACGCTAAAATTTTTTTACAAATTCAAAGTAGCAACTTTGACTGGCATTAGGACCCCTATAAAACATTTCTTCATTTGACATCCAACAAAACAAGTCTGTAGGTATATTACTGTTAATCTATTTTCCCTCTGCTACTTAGGTGAATGTTCTGTTTGTTGTTTAACATGACAGTGTTGCTGTTTACATGATTTCATACATCAAATTCTGATTAAAGCACTTAGAAGTACCTGTAAAACAGGAATGACAGGATAAAGGGCCTCAATAAACTTGTTCCAAGTCAATACTGCCATTATTAATCGTCCTTGCAATAGATGTGTCAGAATGGCCTTGGCTGTAGAATTCACCTGCTCAATAATACAAAAAAAAAAGAAACTAATACAAGCACAAACATGTCTAGGTCAGTTTGTCAATGCTGTAATTGGAAATGTTATACAAAAACATCTCAAAGAGGATCTACAGACAAAATATTGTCACTGCAGAACACAACTTTTAAATTGTTGGTCACACTAAACATCCAGTTGTTAGAAAAGAATCTCAGAGAAAACACACAAATAGCTCTCCCTAAACAGCACCCAATCACTTTCCCATTAGAACTCTCATTTCAGGAGACAAGCTGAAAAAAATAAATAAAACTGTGTTAGTCAATATTCTTTCCCCTCTGATCGGAGACACCTTACAGATCAGCTATAAAATGGTTACAAATAACGTAACTGATTTTTTCCCCTCTCGGAAATCCCTACTTAGCTTTATATGTAAGCTAGGAAATAGAGGATCTATTAAGCATTCATGCATATAAATGAACCCAGTGGAAATTTGGTCCTATTCTATAACACTATAAACCACTTCTATGATACTCAGGTAATTAAATTTAAACAGATGTGTTTGTAGTGATGAAACACATTTTATAGCAAAGACATTGTAGATTTAAAATGTCTTTTTGCTCCTCCACCAATGCACACATTTTGGAGGTTATCTTGCCTTTACAAAGACTTGAGACTTCACGTTTCCATAAATGTAAAGCACCATACTTACTGTTTCATCATATGCACATTTTAATAGGGCTGAACATATTATAGGATGATTAAAAAACATAGCTTATTTCATTTTTCATTGGTCTTTATTACATTTAATAGCATCCTATGCATAGAACATTATTTTGTCTCTGAATTCATCATAAAAAAATCTTTCCATTTACTACAACTTCACCATTTGCTCAGCCTTTCTATCCATAAGAAACCATATGCAGTCAAAACTTCAGGAAAGCCTCAGACCAGCATGGAGAATATCAACATCTATTTTGCATGCACGTCAACTTACAAATATAGCACTAAACACAGTACCTCATTCTTATCTTCCTGAAGGCCAAACGTACAGATTTCATATAAAACTCTTGGATGAAGAAGAAAGTGTACTCCATGGCAGATTGAAGACACAGGCTTTGCAATATTACCAATACCTAAACAGTCCTTCAGTAAAAATAAAGTTGGTTAGTTTTAAAATTCAAGGTAGTCTCCACTACCACATCTTGTTTTACAGACTGCCTGAAGCTGTCATGCAGTGAAAGGCTTTCTCCATGCAGTTTGGAAGACTACAGTCCTGAAAGCGAAACATTACAGCCCTGAAAGAAATACTATCTTTATAGATTACTGATTGAAAATTCCTGTTCCTACATAGGACTATGAAATACAAAATAATTTTGGTTTTGTTTTAAATAATAGAGCAAATAAATTAGACAAACTTTGTATGTTGTTTGGTATTACATTAAAATAAGCAAAGCCTAAACTAGGCAGGTAAAAATCTCACAAAAAGAAGCGTCATTCAGTGGAGATTGAGGGTTTTTTTGTGAAAGACTAGTTCCAGCATCTTTGCACATTAGTGAATTATGCTATAAGCAGAATAAGTTTAGCTGATGTCCAAAGTATTATATCAAAATAGAAAAGTGATTTTTATTTTGTGAGCCAGTATTACTGAATACCTAAAATGACCTGACGAATATGACATTGCCGTTCTTAATATAGAGTAAAGCTACACTTTTAGGAAGTTTACACTCTTTATGCCTTGGGCTATCTTTATAAAAGAACCAAGGCAGTGACAAAACACCCATATAAAACAAAACCAAAATCAAAACAACCTCCCCAAAATAACAATAATGAATAAAAGATTTAAAACAATGAGTACATAAAAGGACTTACATGTTCTTAAACACAACCCAAGCTTTTGTACAGAGGAAAAAGAGGTATTCTTTCAGATTTTTTATATGGTCTAAGCAATTAAAGCGTAACCTAGGTAAAAACATTTATTCTGAAAGTATCAGTATTTTATTACTATGTTATTATTTTATTTTTCCTTTGGTAAACATCCTTGCAAAAAGCAGAAAAGCAATCAACTCAACATGAACAAAAAAAAATTTGAACAAAAAAAAACCAAAGGGATGTGAAAAATCACTATGAAGGGAATAGAATTTGTCCTTGAGGAGCGGGCTCATGTGAACCACCATGAGGTTCAACAAGGCCAAGTGTAATGTCCTGCACATGGGTCAGGGCAATTCCCAGTATCAATACAGACTGGATGATGACAGGACTTGGGGGTATTGGTGGATGAAAAGCTAGACACGAGCCAGCAACGTGAGCTCGCAGCCCAAAAAGCCAGTTTTATCCTGAGCTGCATCCAAAGAAGCATGGCCAGCAGGTGGAGTGAACTGTTTCTGCCTCCCTACTCTGCTCTCTTAAGACCTCACCTGGAGTACTGCGTTCAGCTCTGCAGTCCCCAACACAAGGAGGATATGGAGCTGCTGGAGCGAGTCCAGAAGAGGGCCATGAAAATGACCAGAGGGCTGGAGCACCTCTCCTATGAAGACAGGCTGAGAGACTTGGGGCTGTTCAGCCTAGAGAAGAGAAGGCTCTAGGGACACCTTTACTGTGGCTTTTCAGTACTTAAAGGGGGTTTGTAAGAAAGATGGTGACAAACTTTCTAGCAGGGCCTGTTGCAAGAGGACAGGAGATAATGGTTTTAAACTGAAAGAGTAGATTCAGACTAGATATGAGGAAGAAAGTTTTTACATTGAGGGTCGTGAAACATTGGAACAGGTTGCCCATAGAGATGGTAGATGCCTCATCCCTGGAAACATTTAAGGTCAGGTTGGATGGTGCTCTGAGCAACCTGAACCAGTGAAAGGGAGGGTTGGACTAGATGATCTTTAAAGGCCCCAACCCAAACAAATCTGTGATTCTATGAACTTCATTTCAGCAGACAAGCAAAACTGAACACCTGAATTCTTTTCAAAAGTAAAATTAAACAGAAATATTTCTGTATAACAGCAGCAAAAACTCAAGGCGACCAGCATTATTAGGAACCCTTTTAAAAACTAAAATTGTCAGTCACTGTTTTTCCCCCTCTAGAGATCCTGTCATTCTGAAGTGTAGTACCTGAAGTATAACCTAAGCAAGTAGATTTAATACCAAAAATATAACAGCAAACTCTAAGCCCAGGCATAGACAGATTTCAAAGCATATAACATAGTAGACAGAATTTGTGTTAAAAATACTTTTAATGAGAAAATCATATAATGCACATTACTTGGTGCATCATCAAGAGTATTAAGTAAGCATTTTTTCTAACCTTAACAACTTGCAAACAGCAGTGGTAGGCTTCAGTTTTTATATTCAACAAAGGATGAGACAATAGATGGAGAAGCACCTTCTGACCCTCAGCTTGGAGCAATGAGTTAGCCTCAGCAGACTTCCAACTAAAAATGAAAAAGAATTATTATTTATTTTACAGTACACAAAGATGTCTACAAAAATTTTCTTGTTAAATTTCAGAATAATCTCTGAAAAATACTTCCTGAATAGGTATACATCCTGAAAAATGACCTGACAGACAAAAATTCAGAAATTAATATTTTGCCAAATATCATCATATCAATCTTCACATTTGTGTATGTATTAGTTTTCTTAAAAAATGTAGGTAATCAAAGACCATAGTTTTCCAAATTTCTTTCATCAAAATTAGGAGCCTGACAAACATTTATATTCATCTGAGAAAACAAAATTCTATTCAGTTTTAATAGGCTACTTATATCATTGTATATGATCATTAAAAACATTCTGTGCTTTCAGAATGCAGGGACATGCTTCAGAGGTAAAAGACCATCTCACTATCAGAAAGTGAACTGATGTGAGTTAAAAAATTGAAGTGAACTTCCCGTTGTTTGAAATAGTAATCAAACAATAATTAATTCTAAAAGCATTAGAACACTGAAAAGTGTTTTGATGTTTCATAATTTAAAAATACATATTAGAGAGCTCTTAAATGTAGTTTCCTTTGGAAAAAAAAAATCTCTGAAGCTAAATACTGAATCAGTATAAAATTAAAATTTTGTATCTCTAATTAAGTGTTCAATACAGAACTTTTCCAGGCACCCGAGGATAACTTATATTTTCTAACTAGAGACATGGAAAATCTAAAAAGCAATAAAATCATGTTGGTTAATAAATGACATGCCATATTGTAATACACAGCATCTACAATAAATAAGTCCTTTAGGATCTCTGAAAGTGAAATAAAAGTAAGTTACACAAACACACGTGGAACAAAGGAACTAAAAAAGAGTTTGAAAGACAGGTCAAAGTGTTTTAAGACTGTTTCTTTGTAAATTTCTTTGCCTCAGTCTTCACTGGCAAGAGCTACGGCTGCACAGCCCAAGCTACAGAAGGCAAAGGCAGGGACTGTGAGAATGTAGAACCGCCCACTGTAGGAGAAGATCAGGTCTGAGACCATCTAAAGAACCTGAAGGTGGACAAGTCCATGGGACCTGATGAGGTGCATCCATGGGTCCTGAGGGAGCTGGCAGATGAAGTTGCTAAGCCACTATCCATCATATTTCAGAAGTTGTGGCAATCTGGTGAAGTTCCCAATGACTGGAAAATGGGAAACATAGCCCCCATTTTTAAAAAGGGAAAAAAACAAGACCCAGGGAACTACAGGCCAGTCAGTCTCACCTCTGTGCCCGGCAAGATCACAGAGCAGATCCTCCTGGCGACTATGCTAAGGCACATAGAAAATAAGGAGGTGATTGGTGACAGACAACATGGCTTCACTAAGGGCAAATCCTGCCTGACTAATTTGGTGGCCTTCTATGATGAGGTTACAGCATTGATGGATAGGGGAAGAGCAACTGACATTGTCTACCTGGACTTATCCAAAGCATTTTACACTGTCCCACATGACGTCCTTGTCTCTAAACTGGAAAGACGTGGTTTTGATGGATGGACCACTCGGTGGATAAGGAATTGGCTGGATGGTCGCACTCAAAGAGTT